TACGTAGTAGGTGGACTGTTTGAATCGTTCACAAAGGGAAGGATTTTCATGAACTTAAGATCCAGAGGCGGGACTTCTGAGTTTAACTTTTCCAACTATGAGACATTTGAAAACTCTGACGATTCTTAGCTCGTTTAAATCGATCTATCTATTAAAAAGGCTTAATAAAAGCTTTAAAAACTAGATTTGTCAGACATAAAATGTGTCTAAAAACCAAAACTTAAATAGAATATCTAGTTTCCTGTCAAATATGAAATCGCAAGAATTAATCAATTCTTAACAGTATCTTAACTTCTATAAATAGCGGCGGTGGTCATTAGAAGCTTGCGATCGATGATAGATATTAATATTTAATAAATATTATAAAGTTTCCAATTGCTTTCTCAAAATGTTATCAAGTCTGACAGATTCGTTGAAGTTAGGTACGTCTAAGGGCAGAGAGGGATATAATACATCCCATTAAAGGGCTTAGATTTGACGAATGAAACAACTCTAAAATAAGGATATAATTGTAAAATGAATTATAACCCTTTCGGACAACTGTATTTTCATCATTAATTTATTACGCCTATAGATAAAGATTAAATTTAATAACAAGCAGCCGGTTCATCAATCATTGGACGGTTAATCCGAGATTTAATTATTTATCATTTGAATTATTAATAGATAAACGAGTAAAACGTACTTTATCGATTCCTATAAATTGTTACGTTTTTTCCTTCCTATTTTGAATTGATCGTAGTGTAAAGTATTAGCATAACTTCTTTTCAATTAATTAATCTTTAAGTAAAGTATTAGTTAAGATAAAAAAGCCAGTGTGACGAGCGGGATTCGAATCCACGACCTTCGGCTAAATACGCCGCTGCTCTACCACTTGAGCTATCGTGATTCTCGGACAACCAACTTTCCATCTCAACCCCCACCTTTTTGCCATTTTTATCTCACCCAATAACTTACTTAAAGATTAATTAATTAAAAAGAATTTATTTGGTCCATCGGGCCACGAAACCTAATGGATTGGCATAACTGTTGAAATGTATAAGTGTACTAAATAAATAATATAACGGATATGAAGTTCCTTTGATTAAAAGGCAAGGGAATGTAATTTCAAAAAAAAAAAGTCCCAGGATTGCCTGTCAATAGCCAAATTGATTCATTTCGAATAGGAAATCGGCTGTATAGCAGTTTTTTTTGTTTTTTTTCCGAGGGTTCCGGGGTTTTTGAAAAAAAAAAAGCCCATTTGTAAGTATGTCGGGTTCGAATGCAGGGCCGCTGGATTCGAACCCGGGGACCTTCACCTTACAGTGATGAGCGGCGTGTCAAAGACTAAACCTTGCGGCCACCGACGCCCCTTTAGCACCTGTTCAAATTTGGTTTATTCCGTCCCTATCCGTATTTAACCTCGTGCACTTTGCTTTATCTTTTCAAATAATACTGATATAACTAAGTATGATAGGCAGACCAAAATGATCGGTAGCGACCAACTTTTAAAAAAATCGATTGGATATTTTGTCTTGCCTCGCCCTGTTTATATCCTTGAACAAGACGGCTAAAAACTGCACAGTCTGAGAACTAAACAGCGTTGATGGGCTGATCAAACTGATCGAAAATTTTAAAAAATATGCCAATTAAAATCCCAGCACTGAAGATGGCTAAAAGCTGCAACGTGTTTGAAGATTAAACAAGCTGTGTTAGGCAGACCATAATCATCGGTAACGACCAATTAGCAAGATTACTTAAAGGTCTTGTTTCACTCTGCTTATAACGTGTGGGTGGTGTTTAGTGACCGTTAGTTGATAATCTCCAAATAATCTGCTTGTAACCCTAAACAACAAAAAACCCACCACTGAAGAATGTTAAAAACTGCAACGTGTACGAAGTCAAAACTAAGTACGATTATGATTGGCAATCCAAAATTATCGATAGCAACCAACTAACAAGATCCTACTCAAGACTAACAAGATTTAACGAATATTTGTTTTACCAATTGTTAAAGGTAATGGAGGTCCATAGTTCTCGCAAGTTTAAAATAAAATATTGACTTTTTCATTGAAATATTGCCGTTGTTTGGTCTATTGGCATGAAATCCTTATCTTGGCAATCTCATCTCGTGGGAAACAAACAGGGTGACTGTATTAAGTGGTCACTAAGTCCCGCCCCTGGACCATTAAACCTTGAAGGGGTGTAACGACGCAGTTAGAAAGAAACTATTGCAACTGCCTTATAAAACTTGTAGGACAGATCCGGACAAAAGTTTGCCCCATGATTCTCACTCCATTCCGTATTTCAAGAGGAGGCAAAGTTGAAATCTTGGTGGAAAGTCATGTTAAATGGATTGGTTTGCAGTTTCTACGAGTCATACCTTTGGCACAATAATTAACAGGAAAAATTTTGAGAATTTCAAATGGTAGTTATTTTTTCTAATATGTACGTTGTTAAACCTACATATTATGTATGCACATACTTTTGTTTATTTGTACAATAAAATGTTCTTCTACAGATTTTTCCCGTCAAATAATTCTTTTTTACCTTAGCTTCAAATTAATCCTTTTTAATTTCAAATTAAACCTTTTTTTACTTCAAATTAGACCTTTTTTTACTTCAAATTAACTCTTTCTTTAAACCATTCAGAACAACTTAGGCGATGGTAATAAATATATGGGTTTTTTTAATATACATTAACTGGGCTTTTATAAGACCATATGAAAATTAAATGAAATTAAAAGTTATATAAGAGTATCTACAACAATAAATGATTCTTCTCTTAATTTGATTTTTTTAATATCCCTTTTAAAACCTCATTTTCTCTCATTTAAAAAACGAATCCTTTTTTTTATTAGTTTTGAAAAATAATTACAATTAAAATTAAAAATGACAAAAACAAAAGGAATTTTCTTTTAACTTTTTAAATATAAAATGGGTTCTTATAACCCAATGAAACCCCAAACATCAAAATTAATTACAATTAAAATAAAAAGTTATATAAAATTAAACGATTCTTCTTGTAATTTAATGTTTTTTTTTTAAATATAACATTAGTTCTTATCAAAAATACCACAAGAAAACCAATTATGTGCTTTCCTTTTTTTTTTTTTTTTTTTTTTTTGATGAATGAAATAATTATTTTATATAAGCCAATTACTTTACATTTTAAAAAAATCTCAACTAAAATAGAAGAACCAGTTGTTTTTATATTATTAATTTTCATGTATTACAGATAAGAAACGAACCTATTATAATATATATATATATATATATATAAATTTTTGAAAATCTCAAATTAAAAGAAGAATTGTTTATTTTTATAACTTTTAATTTTAATTGTAATTGTAAGTCTTCTAGAAGCCCAATTATTTTATATTTAACAAAAGTCGCAATTATTTTAGAAGAGTAATAGAATACAATTTTACTTGCATGCTTTGTACTACATGCTAACAAATATTTCATACCATATCCTTTTTTCTCTTTAAATAAAGGGTTAATTTGAGGTTAAAAAAAGGTTAATTTGAAGTTTAAAACGGGTAATTTGATGTTAAAAAGGGGTAATTTGGGGTTTAAAAAGGGTTAATTTGAAGTTAAAAGGGTAAAATTGAAATTATAAAGGGATAATTTTAAGTTTAAAAGGGGTTAAATTGAAGTTACAAAGGGATAATTTGAAGTTTAAAAGGGTTAAATTGAAGTTATAAAGGGATAACTTGAAGTTTAAAAGCGTTAAATTGAAGTTATAAAGGGATAATTTGAAGTTAAAAAGGAATAATTTATGGTTTAAAAAGGTTAATTTGAAATTATAAAGGTATAATTTGAAGTTAAAAAGGGTTAAATTGAAGGTATAAAGGGATAATTTGAAGTTTAAAAGGGTTAAATTGAAGTTATGAAGGGATAACTTGAAGTTTAAAGGGTTAAATTGAAGTTATAAAGGGATAATTTGTTGTTTAAAAAGGGTTAATTTGCAGTTTAAAAGGGTTAAATTGAAGTTAAAAAGGGATAATTTGTGGTTTGAAAAGGGTTAATTTGAAGTTAAAAAGGGTTAAATTGAAGTTATAAATGGATAATTTGAAGTTAAAAAGGGTTAAATTGAAATTATAAAGGGATAATTTGAAGTTAAAAAGGGATAATTTGTGGTTTAAAAAGGGTTAATTTGAAGTTAAAAAGGGTTAAATTGAAGTTATAAATGGATAATTTGAAGTTAAAAAGGGTTCAATTGAAGTTCTAAATGGATAATTTGAAGTTAAAAAGGGTTAAATTGAAGTTTTAAATGGATAATTTGAAGTTAAAATGGGTTAAATTGAAGTTCTAAAGGGATAATTTGAAGTTAAAAATGGTTAATTTGAGGTTAAAAAAAGGATAATTTGAAGTTAGGGATAATTTGAAGTTAAAAATGGTTAATTTGAGGTTAAAAAAGGATAATTTGAAGTTAAAAAGGGCAAATTTGAAGTTAAAAAGGGTTAATTTGAAATTGAAAAAGTTTAATTTGGAGTTAAAAATGGTAAATTAAAAAACAGTATCCTCTGTGGATAGGGTCAGGCCAGCCCTTCCTAGGCTATATGAAAGTTGTGGGATCTCAAATTGATTAAAATATTTTTTAAATCAATCAGTTGTCAGACTAATTAGGCAAAAGAAGGAGCCGAGGCGGGTTTAAACAGTTGCTAAAAAGGACAGTAGCCAAAGGAGTCTCTATTTATGGTAATATGTGGTTTAAAAGATAGGTAAATTTATGTACATTCATAAGTGTTTAAGTAAAAGTAACATCAGATATCATGCCTTCAAATTGCCTAGCAGTTTGAACAACCTGGAGGTTATCATCTACTACGTGTCCCTCTATTGAAAGCAAAAATAAGTTATTTAGCTCTACAGGAAACTTCAAAATACTTAACGGGCACTCTTTCAAATTCGAATCGACAAAAAAACCTTTGCCTTATCTTATCTAATCTCAAAGTTATCCTGCCCCAGGAATCCCGCATGGAAAATGCATCCAACAATATTCTTAGAAAATACAGACATAAAACAATAGAATGGAACACTTTAATGAAAAATTACAAGAAAAAATTACCTACAATAAGTATAAAAAAATTGAATTGTGCTATTAATTTATATCAGATACTACACAATTATCCAATTAGTTTATATCCTAGCTGTGCTGCTGTCAGTTTCTATCGCGCTCCCTCTGAATCCGGTTTCCGTAAGTCTTTGAGACTAAATTCCAAGAATCCATATACCTATCCATGCACATAAGTACACATTTCTGGAACAAAACAAAAACAAGCATAATAAAAAATTATTACACATTGAAAAAAAAAAAAAAAAATCATTCCAAACATGTCTCACATAATCAAAATTATTTTTGAATTTAAAGAAATTATTTTTAATTTATAAATTACATTTTACATTTCCATATGAACCCATCTGCAGAACTAAATTAGCATGTGTTATTTCAAAAAGCAGGATAAATCTCATTTTTTCCATTGTACTAATTACCTCACATAACAACGTAATAAATTAAGCCTAATTAAATTTTTACTGCTTTATTAACATTAAGAATTAATTTAAAACATTCAATTTTAATAAAGTAAATTGGATGTTATCAAATATAACTTCAATTTAAGACAATTCCTATCGTTATTTTGCACTCTATTTATAAACAAGCATGTGTCCATTTTATTTATAAACAAGCATGTGTCCATTTTACAATATTAAAAACTTATTAGGATCAAATTGAGATGAATTAAGTGAATCCAAATCAAAGGTAATTATTTGTAACAAAATTACAATAAATTTAATGATGAATATAATTGCTTTACAACTATTAGAACTGAAGGTCAATTTTTTAAAAATTGCTGGGCCATTTAATCATTCTGGAAACAGTACAAAAAGTCTACATACACCTTACCATGAATGCAAAATTTATTTTATATTATTTATATTAACTGAGATATAGTGTTTTGATTTTTGTATTTATTTGTTTATTAAGCTATTCAGGGTACTTAGCACGTCGTGTTTAAGAAAAGAAAAAAAATTGTGACACATCTAAAGTGAAATAGATTGCCGTAAAACTCATCGTTTTATGTCAATCCATTCAAAAGTTAGATTTTTTAATGTTATTTAAGAAAAACATGTTTCTTTACATATAACCTGATGCTTAGAAGGATGGGAGATGGCCTGAGCATAGTTAGCCGTGCCCGCCCTACTACCACCGATTGCCTCTCTTTGAATCTCTTTTTCCTTTGTGAGGGCAGGACACACTTGAGCTCTGTCACAGTTAACACAGGTTGGAGGGTCGCTACACACAGTTTCTTTCTGGTTAGCTTCCCTCCCACACTCAAAAATTACTGAGGTAACTTGTAATGCAGGGAGATATACCCAAGCCTCTGGCACTTGCACTTGCACCTCCCTAACCATCCCTAACCAGCATTGGAATATAAGGGCGGACCTTTAATCAGTAGAACGCCGCCCTAATCTCATCGGGATTTTTAGGGGTGTCGAACGAGAGGACTAGGCAATGGATAAGTTGCCCATTACAGCAAGTGTTCATCCTCCTCACTTCCATCACCCCCTGGCCCACGAAGATTTCCTTACAAACAATAATTACCTATTTTACAACAGATTGTATTTGTAAGTATGTCAGGATCTTTACTTACAATGATGAGCGCCGTGTCAACGCCTAAACCGTTGCAGCCATCAACATCCCAATATAGTTGAATATAAATGAAGGCTTTAGTTAAAACTAATTGTTAGTTTATTTGCTAAGCTTTTCACTTACATTGTAAGCATCTTCAGCCTTATCTCAATCTTATTATTAAAATTATTATGATTAAAAGAAGGTGGCAGCGTAAATGGGCCAGGTTGACAGGGAAGCTCTGTCAAGAACATTGTCAAGGGTGGCCATCGGAGGATCTGACTTGTAGGGTCGTGACGGTTAAGAATAGACCATGCGAGGTTGACACACGGCAGTTATTTTTGGGCCAAAGCCCGCATATGGCCTGGCATGAAGAGAAAGGTTGCTCGATATGTCCCACCTAACTGAAGAATGCAATTCCTTGGCTCCATACAGAGTGTGCACAGGAATGACACTCAATTTGAGAAATGTGCTTAGTATTTGGGATTCTTGGAGAAAACAGGGATGTTTTATTGTAATAGTAATAATAATTGTATATACCTAATTTGTGTTGTGAGTGAATGTATTTATTAGCGTGAATGAGTGATGTGAGATGGTCTATGGTGGAATCTTGAGTACCCCATCGACCCCAATTAGGCTAGTTGTATAATATTGAGGACTCCATCAACCTAATTGAATGAATGGTTTGTAAATAAGAGTAAATGTATTTAAGAATGAACGTGAGTACGAATGGGTTTGGAACTGTATGCGTTGGGTGCTGAATTGACCTAGCTGTTGACTGTACCCAACACCTACCCCCAGAGCCCAACCTAGTACTAAGGTCTGCTCCCGGACTTCCAACACCGGGGGTAGGCGATTCTCAAGTCTTCCAGCAATTTACTTAAATAGCTGAAGCTAAAATTACCGGTGGACTATGAGGAGCGAATAGGGTCAACTCAGCACATGTTTATATGTTGGTATGTACTTGTGCGGATATGAGCCTGTATAAATCCAAATCATTTATATTCAACCTTCGATGATGGAGTACCACCAAAAAGTTGCAACAAGCCTAGAAAAAAGGACTTTTTGCAATGTTAGTACTGAGTCAATCTTCAAAGAAAATTGAAACCACCTATTAAAAACTTAATTCTGTCAATTTGTAGACATACTTAAGATCGTTTTGCCCTAAAATAGGATGAAAGTAACATCTGAATTTGTTTTTTCATAACCGTCATACTGAAATGCACATTATTTGTGTACAAGGTGGTGGACAGGCTGATCCTCCTTTACGCCTGTCCTTCTTTGAGCCTCACATGTAGGACAATAGCTTCTAGCTTCAGATTATTAGTGAGGAAAAATTGGTCCATACATTTAACACTTTAAACACTATAGTACAGAAAAGTTTATTGGCAGCTGACTGGGTAGAAGGAAAAGTACGCAGATAGACGATTTGCCCTTATTAACTTCATCGTTATACATGAGTAATAAAACTGAGTTTACGATCAAATATCCCCATCATAATTTGACTGAATGTTTGTATATTCCGTTTTTGTAATGATCATCAGGTGTATGTAGACATTTTGTAAAGAATGGGGAGGTTGAGCATACCAGTTTACACGGTTGCCTATGCACATCGGACACTCCCAAATACAACAAATTAATAAGTAAAAAGTTCCCTCACTTGTTCTGAACTATCTAACGAAGCTCCTGGCTTTCCTATACACTTTTTGAAGCACTTTTCTGTCATTTTCTGAAAGCACAGAGAAAAACACAATATTAAGGACTAACTAGTTTTCTCTCAGGTAGAAACGATTCTACCCTTAGAACGTGAAATTTGAAAAAATGGAAAATAGCCTTAGAAACTTGTTTTTTAAAGAATAAACAGAATAATAAAATAGAAATAACATAATAGAGAAAATAAATAATTAAGCCGGTATAAGGTTATGTATTGATAAGATTACCGTAAGCAACTCTTGAGCGTTGGCGACAGCAATCTGCTGCTTAACCGTCTCCATGAGTTCATCTTTTCGATTGCTTGCTATCCCAGTCGTAGATAAAGAATCCATGGTTTAAATACAAAATTTACAATTTATTACCAGCCCAAGAGGATGTGTGGTTGTAACAGTGAATTTAGAGGGAAAATCCCCTGGCTTCTGAATTAGATCTAGGCTCGGCCACGTGTCGGTTTTTTTAAAAATAAATGTTGATTTTGCGTTTATCGAAGGCCCTCGACGATTTTTAAAGCGGTCATCCGCTTAAAATTACGAAGAAAATTAATTTGATGATTAATTAAGAAATCATCATCTTTGGATTTTGAATGAATCGATGATGTGCGTCGATGGCATGACGTCTGATTACCGCGCAATGTGACAGCGACCGACGATCTTCGGTAAGTATTTCAAACTATTTTCTCATTATATTCACTTATAATTACAGTCTAAATAGTCTAGTTTAAAAATAAAAGAGAAAAATATTACCCATAACATAACGCAATAAAATTTTCCCCTGATTTTGAACTTAAATAATAAATCTCCGGGGTATCCGTTGGTACAGGTTACCCACCAGCTACTTTCCTGCACAATAGTTCCATTTCATATAGTCATCTTAGCCATAAATCCTTTAATTTTTTCAAATATTACTCATGAAAATGTTTTAAAAGAGATCCTTTCAATTAAACCTAATGCTACATATTCCAATCTTATTTCTATTAAACTCATAATTTTTTCCCTTTCTTGTTTCTTTAAAATACATAATCCACATTGAACTTCTATCTCGCCTCATCCTGGTTTCCTTCAGCCTAATAGTTGCTTTACCCAGGAGACCTAAACACACCTAATAGAAATGATGAAGATAGGGTGAGTAATAATATAATGAGAGACCAGATTTTTATGCAGTAAAATATGAAGTAGTAATATATTAAAATATGCAATGATATGCAGTAAACCAGTTTTTTTTACTATCTTTCTTAACGAGGGTATTTCAACTACAAGGTTATTTGAACCCTTGGGGTACCGGTCAAGATACAAAAAACGCATTTGTAAGTGTGTCGGGTTCGAAGGCAGGCCGCTGGATTCGAACCTGGGACCTTTACGTTACAGTGATGAGTGCCATGTCAACGCCACTGTTGCGGCCACCATTTACATTTATCAAAAATATTTTCTCACTTACATAATTAAATTATTTATTTTATACTAATTGAGTATAATTAATGTTAATAAACAAGTACTCTAAATTGTCTTCCGTGAAATAGTGCCTACGGTCAATAAAAATTTGTGAGATTTTAAGTAAAAATCCTTCAAATATGCGATATTGTTCAAATATGCAATTTTATGCGATATTCATCGCATATGCTCTATAAAATTTAACCCACAGCTTGCTAGATACATGATTTGGATAGATAATTGATTTACTCAGTCGTTGTGGTGGCAAACAAAATATCACTGCATAAAAATCCGGTCTCTAAATGTAATAATAATCATAATAGCCGCGTAATTAACATAACTATAAAATAAACATATTTACAATCAGTTATACATATTGGTACATAATGATACGAGTAATAAAAATCTTAAAACTAGCTTTACTATAAATATAATAAATAAAATTAATATAAAAAACACAAAACACGAATGGCATTACTCCTGGTCATCTGGTCTGTCGAGGGGTTGTGTCGCTCGGTATTAATTCCATCTCAGCATTAATTTTAACTGCAAGGTACGTGGCATGATGGAAAGAAACAGTGAAAAAAGGGCAGAAATAAGTTTAAGGTGTAGCCAACTACACGGACTGAGAGGACCAGTTCCAACCTTACTATACAAAATAAAATATTATTATACAGATTTGTTTAACTGTTCTAAAGCCTGTGTGGACATGTATTCAAACATAGCAATATTAAAAATAATACAAACACTACTAAATAAAATCTTATGTAATATTGTCAATGTCTTTTTTTATTTCTTTACAATCGTTACTGTTTAAGAATTATTTTTGTGTTCAATGATAACTATAAAATAAAAAATTCTGAAGGATGAGGCTAAAGTTTCAGAAGAGTGTTGAAGGCTTGGGATATGATTGGTGAATTTGGATAAGGAATGTGGGGAAAGTTGAAAGGTATTGAGGCCATTTGCTTGATTTAATATATCNATTAAACCCTAGGTTTATTATGACTTAGAATGTAGCTGAAAATGTTAATGTAGGAAAATATATGATTTCTTGGTTTAATATGCAGTTATTTCTTGACCGTTCTTCAGAGCTGCTTGTAGGACATGGAATATAAAGCAAGTGTCATCAGCAAATAGATGAAATTGGGGGAAATTAAGAACTAACGGAATATCGTTTAGAACCTTGGAAAAGAGTAAAGGACAAAGAATAGAGCCTTGGGGTACACCAGCTGAGGGGTTTGCCCTGAGACCCATGCTGCTTTAGCAACCAAAGAAATACAAATTTTTTAAATAATATGGATTGTATAAGCCAAATTATTTAGTTTTAAAAATAAAACATATATTTCTCATAATTTAGATATAATTTTTTAACAAAATAAAGCAAGCTATTCTTTTATTTCACGGCATAACTTCACATGAAACCATTTTTTTTTTCAATTTTTTTTTCAATTTTATTTTCAATTCAAATCATTCTATAAATTCTCATCAGTATATTGTATACATCTCCATACCTTACAAAACTGCTTTTTAAATATAAGAAATATTGACAGGTTTTAGCAGCTTCCCACTGTCTTCTGATGTTGTTTCTATTTATTTTCTTAGTTGTTCTTGCTTAAATTAAAATAAATAAATCAAACATCTAAACTTGAAAAATATGTTTATTCCTCCATAAACAACTGATGTATGCCAAACAATATTGCATTCAAGTTTTTAACAATGAAAAAACCTTTTATAAGCAATGTTCTTCCAAGTAAAAATGGTTAAAGTAAAAATGTCACTAGTTATAAATTAAAAAACATCCTAAATTAAAACATTGGTATTACTTTTTGACAATAAAACAGTACATAATATATAAATCTGAACAATTAAAGAAAGTAATCAAAAATAAAAATACGAGCAGACAGTATACAAAATCTTTTTGTATTTTAAGTATAGTTGCAAGCAAAAACTATTTTCTTAAATTAATGTAACTCAAATGCAACAAAATTGACAACACAACCATTTGAAATATTTGCGACAAACGGAACACAGAATGAAACAAAAACCATAAAACAAGAATATAAATAATTCAAAGCTCTCTATCAAACAATAGTACAATATTCTATGATAAATATAAAATAATCTAAAATTCTTATGATGTCAGCTTTTTAAAAAACAGAAAAAGGTCCTTTTCTTCCGTTGTGAGTAAAGCTCGAGTGAAGTGTTGTTACAAATGTAATCATTTGACTTGTTCATCTCAGTATTCGGATTCATCAAGACGATCTGAAAAATAAAAAGCTGGTAAATTAAATTGATTACGCAAGTTTTAAAGGATATACACTTCATTTCCCCAGACTTTATTGTTGACATAACAGAATGCTAAAAATTAAAATGTTTGCCCTAATGTAAATTTAAATCAAATTCAAGAGCTAATATTTTTTTTAAATTTATTTAACTTGCACGAGGAATTTTTAAATCATAATTGTGTTTTAACATGTAACCAAACATCTATAAAACAATGTTGTTTTTCCTTGTATTTTAATTGTTTTTCAATTGTTATTTAATTCTATTTGTGTCTGACAATGTATTCCATATTTTGGTTGAATGAAAAAGTCCTTTTCAAAAATTTGTCATAAATTGTCATTAAATAATTAAAATAACTAAATCAAAGAACAATCTTGGAACTATTGTTCCTGACAAAATTGATAATAAAAAAGCCTCAATTATTCTACTAGAAAATTTAAAACATTTAATACTGAGTGACAACATAAAAAAATACTGTTAATTATTCTACATGCATATCCACAAGGATTTATTTTTCTCCTAAATTGTTTTGTTTAAGAAATTGTTAACTGGGTTGAAGTATGAATTCAATAGTTATTCTGTAATCCAAAATTTCAATGATTTTTCTTTAAAAAAATGAACAATATTTTTTTTATTGACCAGATAATTTAATTTAAACAGTATAATTTTAAAGGTTTAAAATGACACAACTTCTTAAAATGATTTTATTTTCTGTTGAGTTTGACTTAAATTAACTAATTACTGTCTTGTAGCTGAAACAAAATAATTTGGTTAGAAATATATCTGCATGAAAACTATTTGAATTATTTGTTAGTAATAATAAACAAAAAAATCAAAGGTGTTAAATTTTTACTATAATATTTAATTGTAAATCCATGCTTAATATATTGGTAAAAATATTGATAAAACTGAATAGTCGACACTTAAACTAACCTAACCTTTTAATATCTGATTTCAACTATCAAAACAGTTTGATGTCCCAATGGAGTATTTATCAAACTTGACAACAATTTATCAATACTGCTCAATTGTATGTGCTATTTTACCATAAAAATAGTTTGCATTAGTTTATCCATACTTTTAGCATATTTCTGTTTCTTTATTAACTTCCCAGTTTAAAAAAGAAACTACATCAAACTGGTGATTTTTAAAATAAACCTTTAATTTTAATTTGTTTGTTTTTTTCTTTTATACTGTAATTATAAAAACAAACAATTTGAGTTTGTTTTTCCTTAGAACAGTTTAATCGCTCCACATAATGAAATATGAACATCCTAATCAATTATTGAAGCTTTATTCAATTTTTAAAAAAGTAGGTACCATACCAGTATTAAACATTCGTGATGATATGTATTGATAAAAAATCCCTACTTTTTAGTCTTCATGCTTGTTTTAATTACATATATAATAAAATTCACCAGTTAAATCAATAGCTACAATAATAATTTTAGTGGAAACGGCACAAGTTTCTTAATTTATGATTTTCATAACAATTATTACTTTAATTCTTAATCATAGTTAGGACTTTTGATTATTATAATGATAGTAATTTTGTTAAAAAGGCTTTCAAAACTGTTAGAAGTGAAAAGACAAGTGCAGTGTTAAATAAATGATGAATTATGAAAAAAAAAGTGAAAATTTCAAATGTTACAATTCAAAGTCCGAAGCAAACTGCACCTTTTTTTCAAAATGGAAAAATATAGTCATTTTTAAATTGATGGAACTAATTTAATTGACCAAAATAAAGGGTACTTAAATTTATCCAGCACCAAAATTTATATGCATATTTATCGTTCATAAAGCAGAATGGTCAGAATTTGTACAAAAAGAAATATACATATAATAACAAGAAAACGGGCAAAAATGGGCAATTAATCGGAATGTTAACGGCCAACAGTTTTAACACCCTTTAATGAGCAAAATTAGAACATTTCAAAAATGCATAATTATTAATTTGTTAATCCATTTTGTTAATTCTGTTATTTATGTACAGTTTTTATGTTGTCACATCAAGATTCTACCGTAGGAATGTTTCAAAAATTGACAATGGAAAAAGAAATAGACAAAAATATTACTTAAAAACAAAATATTTTTCTCACTATACAAACTGGGAGATTATTTGCAGTGCATTAACTTGATATAAAAAAAAAAGTTACTATCATTTCTGCTTCAAAAATTCTCATTTTCTCTCTCACATGCAAACACAATTTGAACAAAGGACATTTAGCAAAGAAAGACCTTATAAAGCGAAATTGATAAACCTTCGGATAGTCTAGGTTGATCATTTTAAAGTTGTATGATAAAAGTAGCTGGATGGTAAAAGTAATAAATTCTAGAGTAGATGAATAAAAGGTGGAGTTTACTCCATGTGATATATAAGATATACAATATTATTTTTGTTATTAATATAAATTTAATTAAGAGGAAAATGTTAGACTCCAATAACAATCATCAATTTTGCAAATCAATGTTAACTTAAGTTATCGAGGTACCTCCTAATATGATTGTGACCTTATGGGCAAGTCAAGAACTGATGAAAACCCTTCATTAGTTTCCCTCTGGGTTTCATGTTTCTTGAGGACCAGATGTTTCAGGTTCTCTTGGAGTTAGTGTGCTATCAGGCGAATGGTTAGGATTATTACATCGGGAACTTGAAACTCTAGGACAACGAACTACAATTCCTTTTGTAGTCTGTGAGTTCACCGGTTCAATTTGTGAGTTGTCCTGTAAAATTTTGAACGTTTTCGACGGGACTATATCATAATCCTCAAAATTGCCTGACTGGCGATTGCGATCTGGGTTAGCCCAGGTGTTGTAATAATTACAGTAGTCGTAATAATTGACACCGTATGTTTCTGGGTTTGGGATTTCTACTTGCATACGTTCAGCGACCTCAGAGGAATTACTTTGAGGATTACTGGCAGGCGATAAGAAAAAGCTGCTATCATCAGAAGTAGATCCTGTGTCATATGGATCCATATCTTCTTGGAGAATCTTAAGTGCAGCAGCGTGGAGCTTTTCCAAAGGCAATTTTCTAAAATGGCGCCCTTTTTTTCTACTCAGCAAACTTTGGACCAACTCTTTTACTAATCTGTCAGTGGCAGTTGGAGAAAGTGGAGAGTTGATGCCACTAGATGAGCTCAGGCTTTCTTGCTCTCCAATGTTTTGAGTATTAAGAGGTAATGTCAGTCTTTCTCTTTTCATCGCTAGAGGCTCATGATCAACATTCTCTTGTTCTACTCCACACTCATCCTGTAATAATTTGAATAATCTGGAATGTGTTGCTGCCCTTTGGTACCTCGTCATTTTCCTTAATTCACTTGTGCATTCTGCATCACTACCTGTATCAGTCTCAGAAATATGTCTACTTATATCTGATGTGACTCCTGAATCATCTTCCTCACTCTCCTCTAAGGATGTCAATTTTTCCAATTTGCACTTAGTCTGTATTTCTGAGTTCTGACAAGGTTCAGCTTTTTCTTCAGTGCTTTTTTCTTTTTCGACATCACTTTCTTCATTATCTGAACTTGAATCGCTACTATCCTCATCAGAGTTATCAGTCTCTTCTTCACTACTACTTGTTTCATTAGAAGAATCATTGCTTTTAGGAAGTAATGTTTCAGTCTCATGTTTTTCTTCATCACACGTTTCCGCTTCTTCATCTTCAGCATTTTCATTCTCTTCAACATTCGATGGAACTTCGACTTCACTTCCACTGAAATTTTCACTTTCTGATAACCCTTTTTTCACAGTCTGAATGCTTGTGCTGCTAGAATCGTCTTCCCAGTGATAGTCGCTTTCTTCGTGTTTTGAATCATCTTCAGATATCAGAGATTGTGTTTCATTGACCGTATTAGGAGATTTTGCAATATCTGTTTCTTTATCATGTATATCTCTCCAAAAGTCTGTAGGCGATTCCGAATCACTTTTTTCACTTCCTGTCATTGTCACTTCTGAGACATCTTTTTGCATTGATTTTCTCTTCAACAAATTTAAATTAATGGTCGCAGTTACGTCTGGATCGCTATTCTCTTTTATTATTTCAGTAATGATTAAATTATCTGAATTTCCTTCCTTTTCCTCCGAATTAGCATTGACTTCACTGTTTCCTACTATCACAGTGGTTACTTCTTCATCATTTTCTGATCTACTGATTTTGAATTGCAAAGGTAAACGAACAACAACAGGGGAATCATCATCTTCCTCATTATTGTTCAGGGTTGATGGTGAACTACCTGCGTCACTTTCATCAATTTCTTTCTTTATTGCATGCTTCTTAAAGCTTTCTGCATCACTCGAATGCTCACTCTCTTCAAATATAACACTCAGTTGATGAGGAAGTTCAGAATCTGATTCTTCCTCTTCAAGTTCTTCCAAATCACTTTCTTCAGAACTTGAATCGGGACTCTGGGAAATATACACATTTAGATTTGGTACTGACTTAATACTTTGAAGCGCAATCGGTTTGCACTCTTCTTCCACTTCTGTATCAGTGTCAGATTCATCAGAATTTTCATTTTGTTCCGGCGAATTATCAGATTCTCTATTATTGTCATCTTTACTGTTTTGCTCAGCTGACTGGACATTTTGAGGGGTCGGTAATTGCTGCTGATTTTGAGCTGCAAGTTGGGCATCGTAATATTGTTTTTGAGCCGCCGCTTGCAATTCAGCTTGTTTTTTAAACATGTGACCATAATAGGACATTTCATCGCTCGAAGAATAGCCAGAGTATTCTTCTGAATCGCTGGGGTAGGTGGGTACGTATGGATACATGGGATACGGACTATATCTAATTGCAGCGGCATTCATCTGAGCCATGTATGCACACATGGCATTATAATGTTCCCAAAATTTTTGCTGTTCCTCTGGATTTTTTGGAGGGTAGTACCAATAATTGGGATTGGGGTAGTATGGAGGAGGTGTATTAGGATCCCAACACATATTATTATCTGCACCCACTGGAGCTGTAGCTATAACAAATAAGACACATCTCCTATATGATTTGCCTCAAATAAATAAATTCAATCCAATTGTTGAAATTATAATATATGTTTATTAAAATAACCAAGAATCGGATGTACTATTTTGTGTCATAATTCAAATTCTTTTATGAACTCAATGATAGTATTTAGATTTTCTTTGAATTTTATTTTGTATTGAGTACTTGATTAATGGGTTGGGTTTTTAAAATCCGTCCATGCCATCATTAGTCATCAGCAGTTTATGCAGTTTTCTGTACATTTGTGTTATAGTTACATTTTAAACAAAAATCTATTTCAGAGCTGACAATTAACACTATTGTGATTGCAAACATTGCTTTTTTTTCTTTATTTAAAAAAAATAACATTGTCTTTTATTATTTTTATAAATAAATAACAGATTAAAATTAAATGTTATTCATATAAAAATTAATTACCTTGAGGAGGGAAAACCCTATTGACTAGAAATGTTTCTGCACCAGGATTTTGAAATGGGCCTGTCAATTTTAATTTTTTTTAAAAATTAAAATCTCTATAAAAAATAATATATGTAAACATACCAGTAGCTTCTTCGTCAGAACCAGTTATCTTTTGCAAAACTCTAAAGGATCTGGACTGAATAGGATTAGAGGTTCCTTGACTCCAACTGTTTTGACTTTGCAACTGTCTACTTCCGTCTACACTGTAAAAAAATAAACCATCCATAATTATAAACTTGTAACAATTGTTATATATTATGTAATATCCAACCTTGTTGTTCTCTGCAAATTATCTGAATGGGGAGAGTTTTGGTTTGGTACAGACTGTTGTGAAGAATAATTTCTAGGTGATTCAGCTCCTTCAATTTGAATTGGAATTATTCTAGTTTTAACTTGTTCTTGTGTCATTGGAGCCCCTTGCTGTTGAAAATTTGGTACTTGTTGATAAACTGGAGAAGGTGATTGCTGCTGATAAACAGGAGATTGGTACTGTTGATGACTGGGCTGCTGTGGTTGATAAGTCGGTTGAGGTTGAGAAGTCGGTTGTGGTTCCCTACCTTCAATCTTTAAGAAAAAATAAGTTTTTAATTGTAAAATTCAATTGATCATGAAATTTTTTAATCAAGGTTGTTTACTTGGATTGGTATGACTCTAGTTACAGAACCAGTTGGTTGTTGTTGAGATAGATTTTGTGGTTGTGGAGATTCAACTTGGTTTTGTCTGATAGCCCATGGTGGTGGAGATTCTTTAGATTGTTGACGACTGGTCATCCAAGGTGCAGGTGACTTTGTTGCACTTCCTGGTGTCGGTGGCATTTGTTTTGGTGGTGTTGGCGGTTGTTGGTTTGTTGGCATCTGCAATGGGGTGGGCTTTGTGTTTTGCACTGGGATGACTACTGTGTGATGTGATGGCTCATAAGCTGGTTGCTGTTTATTGTCAAAAAGGACTTCTGCTGGTTTGGGTTGGATGTAAACTGGCTGTACAGGGATGTAAGGTGGGCCGCAGTTTGAAACAGGAACTGGTTTTGGTGAAACTGGTTTCAATTGTACTTGAATTGAAGCTTGAGTGTTATTTGGGTCAAAAGATGATTTTGGAGGTTGGTTTGTCGGTCTAAGCGGTGCATGACATGGAATCTCAGCCACAAAATCACTCGGAGGTGGTCTATATTGGTTGGCAGGTCCTACAGATCTTAAAGCAGGGCGATTTTGGATATCATTGAGATAACTTGGAGGAGATCTGTTTCCGTTCTTAGGACCACTTCCATTCTGACCATAATTAGCCTGAGTGTTTTGGTATGATGTATTTGCTTCAGGCAATGGAGGAGGAGGTGGTGGAAAATTCATAGCTCCAGTGAATGAAGGTGTGCCTGGAGTTCCTGGATTTTGCAATGGTGGAGGTGGCGGGGGGAAATCTGGAGCATCATCACTGTTAGTGTTAAAAGCTGGCAATGGTGGGGGAGGAGGAAATCCAGAGTGCTCAGGTGAAACAGGCATTGGTGGAGGAGGAGGTAAAGATGGAGAAGATTGCCCGTGTGAAGGAGTGTTTGAAAATCCGCCCCCAGGTGGGAAGACTGGTATTGCTATTTGAGGCTGCATCGCTGCTAATGCTGATGGTGGCAGGGGCTGTGTTGGTGCTCCAGGTGGTCTTTGCTGTAATTGTGGCGTGCAACTGAAATTATTTAAAAAGCAAAATATTTTTATCTTTAAATATTACCCAAAATCCTTATGTTTATAGTATTTATTTATTTTGTTGTATGATGAAAGAAAAAACTATGACTCAAATTTTTTTGACATTTTGATCTCTGTTTAATCAATTAAAGGTACAGTATCTGATTTTAAAACAAATATAAATTTGTTTTCAGCCCTGAACCCTCTTAAAAGCTCAAAATATTTTTTTAATCAATTGAATCAATTTAAACAATTGGAATACATGAGTCCTTACCATCTTCCAGAAAATGGAAAACAAAATAAATATATAATTTATATTTTCACCATACTTTATTGATTTTATTATTACTTTATATTATTTTCTCTACACACTTTATATTATTTTTTTGTCGTAGTGGCAACTTGCTTTAGGGGTTATTTCTCAGTCTATTAAAAATAAACAATAAAGTAAATGAATCCAAAAATATGCTTTTGTATATATATGTTATTATTTAGTAAAATTTATGCAAATATTTTTTTACCTTTCACCATATATTCTTGTGAGAGATCAGAACCATAACAATCTAAATAATTTTTTTTATCAAATTTGAAATGTCCAAAGAATGGCTAATGTGGAAACACAAGTTACTTACGTACTTTATAAGTATCGGGTTGTCCGGAAAATAATGCAGGATTTTAAGTTTTCATTAAAAAAAATCTATATAAAATATTCTGTTTACGTTTACAGGATTACTCATTTGTATGAATGTCAACACTTATTAATCCTCTTCCAAATGATATTGTTTGTTTACCTCTGTAGCATTCCGCTACTTGGAAATAATTCAGTCATCCTTATAATGTCAAAGCGAGAATTTCGTACGATTTTCTTTTACGAGTTTAAACTCGGCCGAAGCGGAGCCCAAACGGCTAGAAACATTAACCAAGTCTGGGGCGAGGGTTGTGTTAATGAGTGCACTGTGCAAAGGTGGTTTAAAAAATTTCGGGAGGGAGATTTCAGCCTTGAAGATGAAGAAGGTCGTGGAAGGCCTTCCTCTCTTAATGATGATGTTCTGCGATCAGTGGTGGAAGAAAACCCCAAAACAACTGTTCGAGAACTTGCAGAGCAACTCAAAGTCAGTAAAACGACCGTCGCTGACCACCTCAAGGCGATTGGAAAAGTGAAAAAACTCGAAAATTGGGTTCCACACTCATTAAACGATCGCCAAAAAAATCAGCGCTTTGATGTTTGTGCATCACTTCTTTGTCGAAACAAAAATGACCCATTTCTGGCCAGAATTGTTACATGTGACGAAAAGTGGATTCTCTACGATAACACTAGACGTTCTGGACAGTGGCTCGACAAAGGAGAAGCTCCAATACATTTTCCAAAGCCCCCAACTCATCAAAAAAAGGTAATGGTTACGGTATGGTGGGCTTCATTTGGTTTAATACACTACAGCTTCTTAAATCCTGGCGAAACCATCAATGCTGAATCATACTGTAACCAAATTAATACCATGCATCAGAAATTGGCAGTAATGAAGCCCTCTTTGGTCAATCGGAAAGGGCCCATTTTGTTGCATGACAACGCTCGACCACATGTGTCACGTGTAACGTCACAAAAATTATTGGAGCTTGGCTATGAAACTTTGCCTCACCCACCCTACTCTCCGGACCTCTCGCCTACTGACTACCATTTTTTTAGACACCTGGACCACTACTTACAACACATAATATTCAAAAATCAAACGGAACTGGAAAATGCATTTATTGACTTTATCAATTCTAAAAATTCTGAATTCTACTCAGACTGAATTAATAAGTTACCAACACGTTGGGAGAAATGTATTGAGAGTATGGGAAATTATTTTGATTAAAGAACATTGCTTTAAAGTAACTAGTTTCTTTTTTTTTGTTTAATACCAAAATCCTGCATTATTTTCCGGACAACCCAATACATACTTTAAAATTTATTCTCCTCTTCTTCCTTCCTGGTTGTTGGCTTATTTGAAGAGCTTTTTTCAGGTGTTTTTTAGCCATTGAACATACGATGATATCAATTTCAGAGTACAAGCCTCCCCTCTTCAGTCACGTTTCATTTTTGAATTGATGTGTTTCCAAAAATGAAATAAGACTGAAGAGGGGAGGCTGGTGTCCCTGAAATTGATATCTTCAATAAAATGTTGAATGGTTGAATGCGCCTGAAAAAATATCTTCATACTTTAAAATATGATCCGATTTTGTAATTGGTCCCGTTCATTTATTTAATATATTAATTTTGTTCAAATTTACTAGCAGAGAAATTTTTCTCATGAGATGACAGTCGACCAAAGCATATATTTTAATGTATATTTTTTTATAATTTAGTTCCAAATCATTACTATTTCTCACAAATATTGAACATTGATATTATTTTTAAATCAGTATGGTATAAGTTATAATGTTCATTTTCAAAGATCAAAATGTCTCTCAATTGAATTATATATTATGAAATGAATGTAATTTTTATAAAAATGAGGAATTAACAAACTACTTTGAATTATTATACAACAAAAATAAATATCGCATGTAAATATAACTCTTTACAGAAGAGATACTAGAAATAGTACATATTTACAATGTGAAAGTTAGGATAGAAAAACACACTTAGAGAACATGCAATAATTTTATAAAAATTTCACATAGTCCACATTTTTTTTCTTTTCAGTCAAGGAAATAGCATGCAAAGAGATAGGTAAAATAAAAACCACATTGTGTTATTCCACAATATATTTATAAATAAATATTAGTGCAAATTTGTACAAAATAATATAAAACAAGTGCAATGTTTGTTTTTTCTGTTAGTTACATCACACTCCTATTTACAAATCATACCTATCTTCCATGTGAGCATTTCGGCTGATCCTTTTCGCCATTCTGGGACTCCTGATCTGAGCTAGGTCCAACCCCCCAGGCGTATATGTGAACGGCTTTTTGTCTTTTGTCATCATCGCATTCTGAATAGCAGCTGGAGGCTCGTAATGCTTTTTGGGTCCGATCTAGACATTACATCGATTATTTTGTGTTTCATAAGCATAATTAAAATGGTATACCTCTGATGCGATTCGGACAGGTGGTATGCTTCCTTGAACAGGTGGTGGAGGAGGTGGGGGCGGACCTCCTGCTGAAAATCCTGAAGAAAGAGATTTAGTTAATAATTATGTAATCCTTGACACTAATGAATAATTATTATTCCTATGTTCAGTTATTTTTTTCTTTTTATACTATGTGAGTATTTATAAGACACTGCCTTTTATTTTAACGCTGTCTATTTTTATTGTACAACTAAGTTTTTGAAAGATAATTTTTTACATAGAATCTACTAATGATAACACAATTTTAATAAGTGGGAGCTTTTTATTTCTTTTTATCTCATGTTATGCTCCATTTTTTCACACAGTTTGAAAGTCCTTTCCATTCTAAAAATGATACCGAAAACTCAAAAATACATTGATTTGTTCTCAAGATATTGACATTTCCTTCACAGCTCGATAATTTCAATTTACCGTGTAGCTGATTGTTCTCATTTAAATTTTTATTATAATATCTACAATGTAGAAATTATATTTTCATATTTTATTCCAATAAAATTTCAATTTTTTTAACCATGATAAATGGAAATTATCGAGTTCTGAAGGAAACCTATATCCCAGAACAATTCTATGCAGTTTTGAGTTCCTGGTATCATTAGATAGATATATAGACAGACATATTTTTATTGATACATGTATACATAATTTACAAAGAAATAATTGACATAAGCATTACAGCATGGATAAAAAATCCATCTGCCATTGTTTTTGGTATCATTATTGAGAATGTAAAAGACTTAAAAGTGTGAAAAATATGGCATTTCATTTGAAGAAAAAAAAGTTGATCACTGTTCAGCTTAGTTCTATATTAAATACTTTTACAATAAAACTGTAAAAAAGTAAAAATTAAAAGTAGGCCTTAAAAAAATTAAAATAAAATAGTACATAATATAATAAAATTATCTAAATATGTAAAATATGAAGAAAAAAGAGAGTCCATTGTTTCTGTATTAACTTTTTATGATTATATGCAATGAAAAATACACAAAGTGGGTCTTTTATGGCAGAAATTATTCAATAAGCATCTTGCTAAGGATTTGCCAAGTTCGCGAATAAAAGTAATTTTTTTTTTTAGTTTTACAACTACAATAAACTGATCTTCAATATGACATCTCAAGAGAAAATGCAAAATTTTATCCTCGCAAAATATTAAAAAACTATATAATAAAAGTTAATGATTCTAGGCAATTAGTAATAAAACAGAAAATACTTGTCATCAAATGAGACTAATTAAACAATTGTATTACAGATCTATGATCGTACCTGTTGATCCATTGCTTGCGGCAATTTGGCTCGATTGGCGCCTGCAACAAAAAAAGTAAGTGTTATTTATATGTTTTTTTTTAATTGATTCTAAAATGTAACCACCTGCACTAGTTTTGCACAATTGACATTTTTTTAAAAATTACTTTACACATAGAAACACCCATTTGATAGTAGGTGTAGAACAAGTGTACATTTCAACAAAACTTAAAAAAAACGTTGTTTTTTAATACAAAAATTGATAATTTGTTCAAAAATTTATCATATATTAATCTATTATATGTTTTTAGTTGGTCCAATTAGCCAAAGTATTTATTTTGCATAGTAATTAACAACTTCAAAATGGCAAAAAGAGGTAAAATGTGAAAGGTTGTTGGTTGAGATGGAGACTTGGTGTCCGAGTGGATCAAATCATGATAGGTCAAGTGGTTAGAGCAGCAGCATATTGAGCCGAAGGTCGTGGGTTCGAATCCCGCTCATGACACTGACTTTTTCGTCTCAACCAAGACCTTACAAAAGGAGAATTAATTGAAATAATTAATATGGTCAATTAGACTACTAAACATAAATGGATTAATATAATATGTCAAGAAGTAATCACTTCACTAACAGCTCGCTGTGGCCATTTTCATAAATCGCTGAGAATCGAATCCTGATTACAAGACACTTGAAAAATGGCAAAAAGAGATCAAATGTGAAAGGTTGTAGGTTGAGATGTAGACTTGGTATCCGAGTGGATTGAATCATGATAGCTCAAGTGGTTAGAGCAGAGGCATATTTACCCGAAGGTCGTGGGTTCGAATCCCACTTATGACACTGACTCTTTCATCTCAACCAAGACCTTACATAAAAAGAAGAATTAGTTAATTGAAATAATTATTATGATCAATTAGACCCCTAAACATAAATGGATTAATGTAATAATTAACTTAACATCATATAACCGATAAAGTTAAACTTTAAAACTTAAGTAAAGACAAATAAAAACTGGTTGTGCCTAATTATGTTTTTAAAATATTTTGTTCTTTTTTTAAATTATTATTATTTTTGTATTTTTAAACTAGAGAATGACATTGTCGTCAGCCAATAATGTTTCTAAAAATTAAATGCTCCTTCGTAAAAATAATAATTGCAGGCAGCAATTTCCGTACATAACAGATTTCTTATTTCGCTTTTTGCAAAGTGAAGCAAATAAATGTGAGGCCGGTGGCTAAATATTTCCCACGGTCCGACTTAATTAGTCCAACGTAACTAAAATGCCCCTGGGGGCGATGCTTTTTTTATCGTTGCACATTTATAATTGCCTATGTAAATAGATCAATTAAAAGTGAAAACGCTAATTTGCCCTTGAGAAAAAAATCCACCCCTGGGAGATAATCCAGTTGGGAATGAGTTTTAGCAGCGATCTTGATACGCCTGTATAGCATTTGCGTGGGTAGACCGTCGTAAAAATCTTGTCCTGCAGTTCTAGACCCGGTTTGGCTCGGCTCTAAACCCCCATGGGAATGCAACCACGGAATGTCTAATGCTTATAGTCTCCAAGAACTTTTACTCGCCTTAACAATTTTATAACGTATATTTTTGCAACAAATACTCTTTAAAATAGGCCACACAAGATGATGTATTTAAAACACCGATAAAAACTCATCAACACAAACAAAAGTGTTTAAACATTCAATGTTGTTAAGTTGTCATTTTTCCTTCTGACACAGATAAAAAATAGAATCATCATCAGTATCAAGTTTAACTTTTAATAAACGGCCCTTCCAAAGTGATATATCATTTCTTTGACATTGATTGCAATATATTTTGACTATATTTCAACGAGATCGTAAATAGTATGTCGAACTCTTTTAAGAGTTGTCCACCGCGATTCTTTTTTAAAACTACAACCTCATCGTTATTTCATTTTTAAAGTAATTTTCATGGTCATCGGTTTTGACGGCTGACGGAAAACGGTTGTCAGCAGTTGATATATGACATTTACGTCATGACACGACCCTAGAATTTCTATTTTCATACTATATTTTATAGTAGCATTAATCCAAAATACATTCCCCCCCCACAAAAAAACTGGTTTTGACTCTTTCTTCTAGTTTTTAAAAAAATTAACAATAACTAGGGTGCTTACTTTAACGCCCTACTTTATGTGTGACATCATGTGAGATTATGTCTGGTGATAGACACACCTTTTTTACACAGAATAAGAACATGCACATATTAATCTACACATAATAAGTATAATGGTGAAACGAATCTTTACAATTGACCAAAAGGTAAGGACTAAAGGAAAAAGAATGCATTTGCAGTTTTTAAATTAGAGGTGTTGGTGGATGTGCAGCAATTTCTCGAAGCAAAGGGTTTGGGTAGGTGCTCATACGTCTTTTCAGTCTTGAGTAGGCATTGGTGGCAAAGTCGACTACTATCGGTATTTTTAAGTCAGTATGAAGTGTAGTGTTCCTCACGTACCATTAGCTTCTTGTTATTATACCTCATAAGCCGATTTTAAACTGTTTAAACCCGTTTCACTTGAGACTGCTTACTGGTGCCCATATCTCATGTACATCTATATCGGTCCTATCACCGACAAGTATGTACATCGTTTCATGTCGAGAGGTGGTTTAGACTTGTTGAGAAGAAAGTACAACTGCCTGATTCGGTTTCTGAGTTGTTTACTATATGGCCAATATGTTCGTCAAATATAAGTTTTTGGTCAAGGTGTAACCCGAGATTTTTAACTTGAAATTTAAATTTTAAAAATAATGTAAATAAGAACAATAATATTTAATTGTTTATAATCAATTTAAAGAAAAAAATGTACCTAAGAAAATGAAATTACAGCAGGATCTCATTGAAAAAAGCAATAAGAAATGTAGATTATCCGCATGTATAAAAAAAAGATATCGGAGATCGTGAGATGCGATCTGGTGTGACGTAGGCTTTAGAAAAACATTTTCTTTATCGTGCCAACGTTTCGATCTTTATTGAGATCATCTTCAGGGCCTGTGTTTTATAAACATTGTATAAATTTTACAAATACATGTAGGATGCGAAAAAAACATCATTGTATAAAATCATTTTTTTTTGTCACATCCTACATGTATTAGTAAAATTTAACCAATGATTATACATCACAGGCCCGGAAGATGATCTCAATCAAGATCGAAACGTTGACACGATAAAGAAAATGTTTTTCTAAAACCTACGTCACACCAAACCGCATCTCACGATCTCCGGAATAATCATTAACTTACAGTCACTAAACACCACATAAAAGAAAAAAGTAGATAGATATTCCACCACCCCATAAGAATGAATGAATAAATCGGAGAGAATATATTTAAGAACTTGAGTATGAATTGTTTGGATCGAGAACCCGGAGCCCAGGTCATCTACACGCCAAAATGGACTAAAAAGTCCCTATTCCAGTCTGACTTTCAATTTTATTTGAAATATTTTACCTTTTGTTACACCTTTGACAACTTTTTCCCATTATGCCATTATATCTCATAAAATATTAATTCTACTGAAAATTTGATTAGATCAATAGAAAGTGCCTTATAAATATTATGGGATTCACTTTTTTAATCAGTTAAAAATCGGTTAGAAGATAAATTGTACGACTTTTTGAGTTTTTTTCTAAAGCCTTAGAGAGATTATCTTGGTTCTGTAAATACTGATAGATCGGGCTGACAAGAAGTTCCCCCTACTAATGAGCTGTAAACACATATACTTGATTTCTCAAAGGTCAGGTCCAGTGTGAAATTGTCATTTAATGGCTAAAATTTTATTTTTCGATTGAAAACGGTCCAAAGAAACAAGATTTTAAAACCTTCTAAAAATTAAATTAATCAATATATCCATCTTCTTGAGGAATACGAGTCTGAAATCTACAGATTGACAGATTATTTCAAACTTTTTTGTTTTTTCTTATGTCCTTATTCAACGTCTTATTCAAAATCTTAAGGATAATTTTTTTAACTGCTTGCAACAGAAAAACCAAATTTTTAACATTAAATTTTACATTGGTGGTAATTGACCTTCAAGAAAATCAAGAAATTACGTACCAATTAATCAATTTAGTACCAGTTACGTACCAATTAAGTCAATTTTAAAGGAAAATTTTCAGTTTTTTTTTAATTTTATTTTCTAAGTGATTTTGTATTTTATTTGCGGTCCATAAGAAATTTAATGCTCTTAACATTGTTGTAATCAAATTTAATGTAGAATTAACACTTTTTTAACGAGGGTTCGCAACAGCAGAGATCATAATATATAAACCCTCAGGGTGCCGGTGTTCTCGGGAAAAAAAACATTTATAAGTATGTCGGGTTCGAATGCAGGGCCGCTGGATTCGAACCCGGGACCTTTACCTTACGGTGATGAGCGCCGTGTCAACGCCTAAACCGTTGCGGTCACCGACGCCCCCGATTAACATTTTATGTTAACAAGTTGTGAAAAATTGAAGTAACAGGAAAAGTTAATTATCTCGAATATAACTGACAATCAGATTTTGGGCAATCGAGACTTACTAGTCCAATTGACATCATTTAGGATAACCTACTGAAGTATTGGCGTCTGTTCACGGGACACCCTGTATATTGTAAGATCTTATTTTCCTTTTACGTCCTTAAGACAGATAAATGCTGGTCTGTGATAGATCTTTATGAGGTCTGCGGGGTGATGAATCTGTTATTTCGGCGTTTCCTATCATTTTGGCCTGCTGAACTCGCCAAAATTTTGATAACGCTGTTTTTCACCCCGTCATATTTTATAAATTAATAATTTGTACGACTAGATAATCAAACCTTTGGCGAGTATTAGCGACCAAAAAGGTGTTACTTACATTACGTTACGTCTAAGTATGTATGTCGTGTCAGTATGGGATGTGACTTCATGCATGTGTTCGTGACTCTTCTTTCCTTGATCATATGGCAATAAGGCTAAAAGCTCTGGTATTTTTCCGGTATTTTGATTGAGATGAACGTGGAAGGGATTCCAATTGTGGGGCCCTTGAGAAAACTCCATATAAGGGGAACGA